GCCCGGCTATTTTTTGGTTGCAGCCTATTTTTTGGTTGCAGCCGTCATTGTTGTTTGGCGGGTCTGAGCTGGGGATTCGAACCCGCCACCTTAGGTGTACGTGGCTGGCGCCTTAGCCAGTTGAGCTATAGGCGCTGAGCCAGGACTCAGGTATTTCTAAAGAAAGGTTTCCTGTCCTGAGTTTCTGGCCTAGGAGGCATTATAGGCCTCCTGGCCTGGCCTTGGTTAGAGAGAAGAAGTGATGCCAGAGGTGACCACTGCCTTTATTGCCTCTGTACCAGGGTCCCAGGCTGGGGCTCAGAGGTCTTTGGGGGCAGCAGGCAACCCTGGGACCAAATTATTGCTATTTGGTAAGGTTACCTTGGGGCTTCCCATAGTGCCCTGAGAATGGGTGGGGGTGTGCACATGCAAATTATATGCAAATTACATGCAAACCAATCCAAAATCCTCTAGAGGGCTCTGGTTTACCCATGGGTGCTGGAAGAGTCAGGGGCCTGCCAGCTCAGCCGGGTGATGGGGACACCCAGGTCCTTACCCTATATGGCTGAATGATGTGGCCCAGCCTTAGGGCTCATGGTTTGAGGGACTTAGGAGGGGGTCCCTGAGCATCAGGCCTGGTTCTGCCACAGGCTGGGAATGAGCAGAAGCCTGGCCCCAAGACAGCAGGAAGAAAGCAGGACACCCGCTAGGCAGCCAGATGGCCTGAGGCCCACCTGGAGAGGGAAGGGACCTGCCTTGGGTCACACAGCAAGCAGGGGCAGAGGGGACCAGAATCCAGGCCTCCTGAGCCAGGTGGAAGGTAAAGTGCCATGGAAACTAAAGCTATAAACAATAAATACACTGATAATAAATAGAAAGCGAGCAGCCCAGTCCCTGATCCCTGGGCTGAGAGATCCTCCACCAGCAAGACTGGCCCAGGTCTAGGAGGAAGCAGGGTCCCTGGTCTTGGTGCTGAGTTGACCAGTCCAGAAGGCTCCTAAAGGAGGCAGGCAGGGCCCAGGGTCCTTGGCTTGTGCAGGTCAGGCTCAGTTATTATTCATAATCCACCAGGAGGCTGTGGGTTGGAGTTGGGAGTCGTGAGCCATCGGGGCCACTGCCCCTCCTGATCCCAGGGCTGGGGAGAGAGGGTGGGTTGCAGCACACCTGGGAAGAACACAGTGCTGAGGGTGTCCGGAGCCTGCAGGTAGTCAATGAGGGTGCGCTGGAAGGCCTTGCTGCAGGACGACTGCTGATGCCTGCAGAGGGGACCAAGGCTGCAGCTATGTACTCTTGGGTCTCCCATGCCCATCCCAGTCCTGCTGCCTAGATGCAGATACCAGGCATTCCTCAGGCTGCCTCTGAGCCTCAGTTTTCTCCTCTGTGAAATGGGGATAAAGTATCTACTTTGCTGCAATATCATGAAGATTGAATGAAGGTGCTTGGCCTAGAGTGCAACATACAGCACACTGGTGTACATTCACTACTATGCTTACTGTGTACCTGGCACTGTATTCAGTTCTTCATACATCATCATTTAGCCCACTGGAGGTTGGAACCACCGTCATGCCCATTTTGGAAAAGAGGACTATGGGGCTCAGGTGGGTTAGGTAACTCATCTGAGGCCACTCAGTCAGTAAGTTGGAGAGGAAGATTCAGACTCAAGTCTGACTCACCCTAGGGCTCATAATAAATATTGGCTGTTAGGCCATCACTCCTACCTTCTCCAGGAGGCCTCATCCTGCCAGAACTCATATAGAGTGAAGGAGGCACTATCCAGCATCTTCTGGGCAGACACACTGTGGGGCCAAAAAGACCAGCCAGGCCAGGCCAGGGCTGCCATCACCAGTGCCCACCCAACCAGGGGTCCCATGGGAGTCCCAGCCCAGGCTGGCCAGCCCAGCACCCTTCCATGCTCACCCCCTCCCCACCTAAGCTGGCTGGGGACTCACTGCAGACAATGGCTCTGGGCCCCTGTGAAATCCATATAGCAGCACAGGGCTCGGTGAAAGTCCTGTAGGGCTTCCTCTGCCACCTGGACCTGCCTCTGGGCCACGAAGATGTGCTGGCAAGAAAGGTAGCCAGTCAGCTGGGACAAGGCAGGGCACAAGATGAGGGGCAGGCTGTGGCTCCAGGAGAACCTCAGCCTCTTGACATGTGCCAGATGCGGCCAGCCCACCCTGCAGTGGGTTCCTGCTGCCAACCTGTCCTTGGACATCTCGGACTCCATTCTCTTCCCCCTCTCCAACAGGGCTGCCTGATGCCCCCAGTATGCTGACCAGCCCTGCCTTTCAGAAATGAGGACAGGGGAACTGGGGCCCAAAGAGGGGCAGATAGAAGGTAAAGAACTCGAGGTTCAGGGCCTAGAAAATAAGATCTCTGCAGGGTCACAGAACCCAGCACCTCTTGCCAGAGGCCTGGGAAAGAGCCCACGTGTACTACAGAGGACAGGTGAGCAGCTGGCCCAGGATGAGTGAGCAGTTGGCCCCATGAACCTTCACTTCATGAGCATCCCTGGCCCTTGACATCCAGCTTTCTGCTCCTCCCCTGGGCTCACCGAGTCAGGCTCCTTGGCAAGGTCCTCTTCATGCAGGGGTTCCAGTCGGGGGACCTGTGAGGGACACACAGTGTAGGTAGGGCCCTCAGCATGGGTCTGGCTTGGGCAGATGCCAAGAAGGTCCACCCCTGTTGGGCCATGGCCACTCACCTTACACTCAAGCTGGTCGATGAGCTCCTGGAGACGGTTGACCTGGAACCGCCACTGCATCTCAGCATCTGAGCTCTGCCCTGGGGGTGGGGGCCCCAGGGGGTTAGGCTTGGGCCCTTTAGGGTAGGAGGCTTCTTAGGATGAACTGAGGAGCAGTGGGGGAGCAGACATAGAGGGCATGGGGATGTGGCACCCACCCTGAACCCTCCTTGGCCAAGCCTCCCATCCTATCACAGGCACACCTATATCAGAGGAGCCAGGAGACCAGGTGGGTGATCGACTGATGCTCCTCAGGACCCTGCGCCCTGCCCGTCGGCTGCCACGGGGCCTGCTTTGTGCTTCCACAGTCTCTTCAACTGACCTAAGGAAAGTAGAGGGTCAGCCACTGCCCTTAGACCCACAGGGCCAAGGACTGGGGCCCCATGAAAGAACCAGGCCTGAATGGGACAAGACAGGCCTCCTGGGATATTGAGGCCTAGCTCCAAAGCCAGCCACCTTGTCCCATCCCCTCACGGACTCCCTGCCCAAGAAAGTGGGCTCTTGGATGCTGGCACTATGGAATGTGATGAAGCTGTGGGATGTGGGGACAATGGGCACTTATAACTATACTCGCAGGATGTCAGGGTCCCACGTACCGCAAGCCATGGGCCTGGGCCTCCAGGGTATCTGATGCCCCCTCCAGTGAGCTCTGCAGGGCTTGTAGCTGGCTCACTGTCTCCCGCAACAGGAAGCGTGTCACAAACTGATCCACTTTGGAGGCCTGCTCATACTCCTGGGGACCAAGGGGGGCAGTCAGCATTGCCAGTGTTCCCAGCCTACATGTATACTTCTGAATGGAGAGCCACCTCCCTGGTCCCCCACCTCTTGCCCATCAGAGCAACAGTGGCAGTGCCAAGACAGAGGCATACAAACCTGGGATGAGCAGGAGGGCACTGAGGCTACTGGTTAAGGACGGTCTAGCCTCCCTTCTTGGAAGGTGTCTGCCAGCTGGCATGCCTGGCTTTTATGGACCTCATAGCCCCTTCCCCATCAGGGCCATCACCATGGCCAGTAAGGTCTTAGGTACTGCTAGGCTGGGTGGGGATGGTCATAGGACTTCCAAGGGCCAACTCTGACATAAGGCAAAACTGACTTTCTACATATGCATTCATTCACTCATTCTTCTTTGCAAGAAATGTTTACTGAGCTCTTTTTTACTAGGAGATGACCATGTTGCTTCCCTCACACCCCTCTCCCTAGTATTGACCCTGACCTACATCACCAGTCTCCCCCAAACCCTCCCAAGGTGAGCAGAGAGGCAGGGGTCAGCCAGGGACTAGGCCCTATACTGCCCATCCTGGGATTTCCAGAGACTCCCCAGCTCCCTGTAACTCCTGGATCCTCCATTTCCTCATCTATAGAGCAGGAATGATAATACTCAGCACATGGAGTTGCTGAGGGGCCCTAGGTGTTAATTCCTACATAGGACTCAGTTCAGGACCTAGAAAATAAGTTCTCAATACCAGGAGAATTGCCATATTTCTTACTGTCAAACATAACACTAACAAGGAACCTGCCCACTTACATACCCTTCACCTCACCCCTACCAGAAACACACGCACACAGAGCCCAGGATGGGAGGATGTGAGCCCTGGGGAGCCATGGTCTGAGTGCCTGTACTCCAAGGGCGCTCTGGAGGCTCCATCCTTTAGAGGCTTCATCTCCATCCCCTGACCTCAGCTCAGCCATCTGATGGGAAATCCTGGGCCAAGCTTATGAACTAGGAGACAGAGACAGCGGGGAGGCTGGATCCTTTTATTCTCACATAGGCCAGGGGTTCTCTCTCTAAGAAATCTTTCCACAAGATTCCCTTTTGGGCTCTTAAGATAATCAGTCAGTTTCTGTTGCTTGCAAACAAAGCCAACTGACAAAAACACCACCCATTCTGTGCCAGGCACTATTCCAAGAATTTCATGTAACCCTAGTAAGGATACAGGGTTTGACTGCATTTTGCAGATAAGAAAACTGAGACCAAGAGAGGTTGATAATCTTGACCAAGATCACACAGCTAGTTAGTGGCAGGATCAGAATTCAAACCCAAGCCACAGGAATTCCTCTCTGCTCACCACTAAGCACCTAACACGCATTGCTTTGCTGAGCATTAGCCTAGTTTTACAGCTGAGAAATCAAGGCCAGAAGTCACCTGTGAGTTCTGAGAGGAGGAGCTCAGCCCCTGCAGCTGGTGACCTCACCCCATGATGACCTCACAATGTACCTCCCCTGGAGACGGGTTAGGGCCCAGAGGACAAGGCAGGGGCAGCATGGGCTGTGGCCCCCAGTGGTGACCAGCCCTGCCATGGGAAACAACAGTTCCCACAAAAGGACCAAAGCACCCAAGCAGGCCCGCAAAGAGCGGCCACCTGACATGGACAAGGCCCGACGTAAACAGTTCTTCAGCCACGTCAAGCGGAAGAAGCCAAATGTGAGTACAGGGGGTGGAGTAGGGTAAGTGAGGAGGCAAGCGAGGGTCAGGAACCTGGACAGGTGGGAAGAGATGCTGGGAGTCTAGGCCTTGTGGGCAGAAGTCCCCAGGGTAAGAAGGGAGCCAGAAAATCCCTCCCAAAGATGAGGGTCCCAGGAGCCTAGACGGGTGTGGATAGGAGTCCTAGAAGCCCAGAAGGAAAACAGGGATTCCAGAAACCAAGGGTAGATGAGACCTGGGAGACCAAGGGGAGGAAGTGAAGGGGATTCTCCAGACCCTGGACAAATGGGTGGAGGTGCTGGCATAGGGAATCAGCCCTAGTTGGTACTGCAGGGGCTATGGACATGGGAACTTCCTTATACTCTCTTTTCAGCCTCCAGCCTCAAAATGTGATACATTCCTCCCCCTTCAAATGGGCAGAGGTCCTGGTCCAGACTGGGGTGGGTGAGAGCCCCTATCATGAAGGCTGGTAGGATAGGCAGGAATCTCATCAATGTGGATGGAGTTGAGTCTCAGGAAGTCAGCCTGGGGGTGAGGGGATGAGGGTTTCCAGAGGAGGGTGGGGGTCCCAGGCAACAGGGAGACGGTCCCTGGAGTCCAGCAGGGAAGATGCGCTTCTCCCCGGCCTGAATAGAACAGTGGGCACCCTACCAGCGCCGCGCATGGGAGTAGTCCCAGAGCCCGGAGGATGAGGGTCCCAGGAGGAAGAAGAGCAGGTTGGCCCAGGATCTTGGACTACACTCCCCCGGCGTGCGCTTTCCCCTCATGCCCTTGCACCGCCCCCAGGCCAAGATCGTGCTGCTTTTCCCCCTGGACAAGCGGCAGGAGATGGCCGAAGCTGGGCGGCCGGGTGAGGACGCGTCGGGCGCCCCGGCGGTCTCCCCGGAGGCGCCCATGCTGCGAGGAGCGGGCGACGGCGCGGAGCGGCGCGAGGGCGCGCGCGCTAGAGAGATGAAGAAGATCCTCGTCCTGCTGCTGCTGCTTGACGCGCGGCTGCAGGAGGAGGGGCGGCGGGCGGGCGGCGGGCCCGGGGGCGCCGGCGGGAACAAGGCGGCGCAGGGCTGGCCGCGGCTGTACGCGCGCCTGCTGAACGACGGCGAGGCCGACGCCGCCGAGGAGCAGCCGCGTAAGCGGCGCCGCTGCCCTCGCCCGCGGCCCTGAGCGCCGGCCAAGCCCCCACCCCCGACCCCGGGACTCGGCCCAATAAAGAGCGCATAGCAACCTGGCGCCTGCTGGCTCTGTCGGAGGCGTCGGGGGCCCACAGCGACACAGGGATGAACCCGGGGAACGGAAGGTAGGGCCACCGCTGTGGTCTGTAGCCAGGGCTGTCTTTTTGCCTTCTTCTTCATGTCAAGGGTCGGAACCAGAACCCCTTCCCTGATCTGGGAAGAGGACACCGTGCTGCAGTGACGGGATGCTCTCACACACCAGATCCAGAGCAGAGCCCGCCAGGGCCAAGGGAGGCAGACTTGGTCAAACCCAAGCTTGGCCATGCTAGGAGGAGGGCCCTGCTTCCACTAGAGGCCTAACCCCCTCGAGAGTCCCCAGCATTTGGAAATCCCTTTTAAAGGCAGCGCCCTGGGCAGACAGGCACCATCTTGGGGAATAACAGCCAGGATCCCACAATCAGCCAGGGTGAGCCTGAGGTTTCAGGAGAGGCTGGAATCCCCTGGGCCTCCGCCCCTCATTCCTACCCCACTGCCCTTGGTAATCCCCACTTCCCAGTCTTCCCCAAGAAACCTCTCAAATTCAACCATTGTCTCTCCAACTTCTCCAACTATCCTGTCCCATCCCCTTCCCCACATTGCAGCCAAAGACTTCTTCCAAACTACTGGTTGTGCTGGGCAGCTGAGATCAGACCCTTGAATGCCAAAATCACTGTCCTTGGCCCTGTCCAGAAGAGAAGATGGGTCCAGGGAGTTTTTATGGGGGAGGAGGATGCTAAGGACTAAGGTCACAATAAGTCCAACCCAAGCCATACTGCCACCTGTAGTCTCCAGTGTAAAGCACACTCCCTAAATCACTCAAGTCAGGCCAAGCACATTTTCTGCTGGTGTAACCCAGCCACTTCTCATTCTCCTGGGTCCAAATCTAGTTCCACACCCTAATGCCAGCCTAGCCCTGCCAAACCTGCAGCCTTCCTTACTGCCACAACACTCGTGACGAACCTCAGAGTGTCCCCTTCTAGGGTTAGATACAGTAGGGGTGAAGGTCCTAGATTACTAGAGCTACCAGCCCAGCTTCTGCTGAAGATGCATTTTTTTTTTTTTTTGCAGTTTTTGGCCAGGGCCAGGTTTGAACCTACCACCTCCAGTATATGGAGCTGGTGCCCTACTCCTTTGAGCCACAGGCACTGCCCCACTTTTTTTTTTTTTTTTTTTAGCAGAGCCTTGCTCTGTTGTCACCCTGAGTACAGTACAGTGGGTTCACTGTAGCTCACAGCAACCTCAAACTCCTGAGCGCAAGTGATCCTCCTGCCTCAGCCTCCTGCGTAGCTGGAACTATAGACATATGCCCGGCTAAATTTTTCTATCTTTGGTAAAGATGGCGTGTCACTCTTGCTCAGGCCGGTCTCAAACTCCGGAGCTCAAGGCACCCTCCTGCCTCAGCCTCAGCATGAGCCACCACACCCAGCCCGAAAGATACACTTTTGTCACTGTCAACATGATCAACATCCCTTCCACACTGTATCAGGCTGGAGGTTGCATGACTCCTGTCCAAAAAGTGACTACCGGCTCAGCGCCCATAGCACAATGCTTATGGCGGCAGCCACCTGCACCAGGGCTGGTGGGTTTGAACCCAGCCCAGGCCAGCTGGATAACAATGACAACTGCTGCAACACCAACAACAAAATAGCCTGGTGTAGTGGCGAGCATCTGCAGTCCAAGCTACTTGAGAGGCTGAGGCAAGAGAATCTCTTAAGCCCAAGAGTTTGAGGTTGCTGGGAGCTGTGATGCCCTAGCACTCCACCGAGGGCAGTAGAGCGAGACTCTGTCCTACAAGTATCAGCCACTTTAGGGGGACTGTAATTCAGGAGCTGAAAAGGACCATGTTTTCTACATGAACAAGCGCAGGCTAAAGTCAGCTTTCAGAAGAACAAAAACACGATGCACAGCCTGCACCCCCCCCCCTACAGCCCTATGGTCAGACCCTACTCCTGAGACTTGATTTCCCCATTGCTCTTGGTATCATATCATAAGACAATATCCTTGTAATAAAATCTCTATTTGAGCTTAAGTTCACCTGAGTGAGCTTTCTACCTGTAACCACAGGGGTCCTAAAGAGAATAATGAGGCTTTGCAGAGATAAGTGACCTCTTTTCCATGAGTATTATCACTACCTTTTGAAGAAACTGAGCCCAAAGAAAATCCAGGACTTGCTCAAGATTGCACAATGGAGCCAGCTTCAGAACCGAGTCAGAAACTTAGGCCTGTATAAGTCCATTTGACAGAACCCCAGAAGGTGGGGCCCTAATGTAGGCTGCCTGGGCCTCTCAGACTGAGGGCACAGAGGTCCTGAGAGAGCTGTAGATCTTAGTGTCGAGAGGGGAGGAGCCTCACATGTGGCCAGAATACATCAGATAATCCAAAGTGGTTTAGGGACGAAATTAGACTGGTTGTGCTGCGCAGCAGAGGCCAGACCCCTGGTCACTGAAGTCTTTGCCCTTGACCTTGTCCATGAGAGAATGGATTCAGTTTTCATGAATACGGAAACTGTTGGGGGAGGGGGCTATGGAAGTGAAGCCGATGCTAAGGACTGAGGTCACAATGAGTCCAATCTAAGTTCTTTTCTTCCTTCTCCGACCGGCCCCATCCACCTCCACAACCAGGAACTTCTTCCGCCAGGCCCAGGTGAAACATACCAGGAGGCATACCTGGGGCTCAAGGACTGGGCCGAGTTCCTGGGTGTCCAAGGGGGATAGATGTCCTGATGGTCTTTCAGTATTTGAAAGGATCTGGCCCTGCTCTCTTGGTACCCACCTCAGTTGAAGGGAACGAAGCTGCACAGCAAGGGCGAGTCCTGAGAGAAGCGGGGGCCCAGTGAGAACGGAGACTGACACTTGAACCGGAGGCGGGGTCTCAGGCCAGGGGCGGAACCAGGAGCTGAAAAGGAGACGGCTACAGGGGACAGAAGAGGTGGGGCTTTACGACCACAGGGCGGAGTCAAGAACTGAAAAGGATACTTGACCCAGAAAAAGAGACACAGGCCCAGGAAGCAGAGCCAAGAGCCAAGATCCTGTCTCCCACACCTGCAGGTCTCCCAGATAAGCATCAGCTGTGGGGAGGGGGCGGGACCTTCGCCGAAGGGCAGGGCCGAACCCGGAAGGTGGCGTCGGTGTCCGAGAGCCGCCGGGTCCACTGGCGGCCCTCAAGGGACCACGTCGCGGTGGTGGTAGACCAGGGCTCGGGCTTCACCAAGGGGGGCTTCGCGGGCGAGGACCAGCCGCGCGTAGTGCTGAAGAGCTCCAGTCTGGTGCCCAGCTGGGACCGGCCCGTGCTGCCCGGCGCGCCGGGCTGCGAGCTGGCGGGCGGCGTGGCGCGGGCGCATCCCATCAAGCATGGCGTGGTGGTGGACTGGGAGGCGCTGGAAGGGCTGTGGGAGCGCCTGCTGGTGGGCGGCCTGCGGGTGTCCCCAGAGCAGTGGCCAGTGCTGGTGAGCGACTCGCCTTCTGCACCGCCCGCGGGCCGTGAGAAGGTGGCCGAGCTGCTATTCGAGGCCCTGGCAGTGCCCGCGTGCCACATGGCCAACACCGCGTTGTTGGCACTGTGCTCCACCGGCGTGTTCACCGGGCTGGCAGTAGAGGCGGGAGCGGGCGTGTGCCACGCCACGCCCATCTATGCGGGTCACTCGTGGCAGGAGGCCACCTTCCGGCTGGATGTGGCAGGCAGCACCCTTTCCCGCTACCTGCGGGAGCTGCTGGTGTCAGGATGCCCAGACCTCCGGGAGCAGGCTTTGCCCCGCAAGGCCATCACACAGCTAAAGAAGCGCTGCTGCTATGTGTCACTGGACTTTGAGAGCGATCTCCGTAACCCTGCCCGCCACCGTCCAGCCAGCTTCTTAATGGATAATGGGTGTTCCATCCACCTTAGAAGCGAGCGTTTCCGCTGCCCCGAACCCATCTTCCAGCCAGGTCTGGTAGGGCAGACTGAGCCGGGACTGCCCGTGCTGGCCTTCCGGGCCCTGCATAAGATGCCCACAACGCTGAGGACACGGCTGGCCAACACCGTGGTGCTGGCTGGTGGCTCCACTCTTTTCCCTGGCTTCCCTGAGCGTCTGGCCCTGGAGCTGGAGGCGCTGTGCCAGAGACAAGGCAACACGGCCCTGCGGCCCCGCCTGGTGGCCAAACCCAAGCGTGGTATCGCTGTGTGGACAGGCGGCTCCATGGTGGCCTCCTTGCACTCCTTCAAACGCAGCTGGATGACCAGGAGTATGTACCAGGAATGTGGCCCTAGGTTGGTGTATGAAGTGTTCAACTGAGTCAGGCTGGACTGGAAGGGGTGGTCCACTGGGGGCTGCAAAAGGCCCTAGCTGAGGTGTAGCTCTATCAGAGTCATTGAGTACCAGATAAAGAGTCTCAAGTATTTGGAGCTGACCTGATTATTGTGTAGTGATGTCCACTCCCTACCCTTTTCAGGTCAGGAGAGGGTGGCTGAGACGCTCATTTTTGACCTGCAGTTTGAATCCCCTAACCACTGCCAGTTCAGATAATGCCAGTCCACTCTAGGGCCCTGTTTCCATGGCAACAAGAACGGCAATGCACCACTTGTGTCCACACCACAGATATGAAAGTCCCCCTCATTCTCTCATCATGTACCATTCAGACACACACTCCATACCAGGTCCCAAAGGGCAGCTCTGAAAAGCTACTAAATTGTTCCCTTGAAAGCAACCAGGACAAGCCCTCAGCTCAGCTGTGCACTCAGATGATTGTTGGTTCTGAAGGCCTTGGTTTCTCTTTCTGTAAAAAGTGGGGTCAGGCACAATCCCGGTCCCACTTACTGCTCCCTCCCCATTATAAGAGCTATAGAGCTGGCTGAACAGGTGGCTCACCTGTAATCCTAGCACTCTGGAGGTCATTGCTTGACCTCAGGAGCTTGAGACCAGCCTGAGCAAGAGTGAGACTCCATCTCTACTAAAAAATAGGAAAAAACACTCCAGGCATAGTGGTGCATGCCTGTAGTCCAACCTACTCAGGAGGCTAAGGCAAGAGAATCTCTTGAGCCCAAGGGTCTCAGGTTGCTGTGAGCTATGATGCCATGGCAATATACCCAGAGACTCTGTCTCACACACACAAAAAAAGTTTAAGGTTGCTATGAGCCATGATGCCACAGCATTCTACCCAGGGTGACAGAGTAAGACTGTCTCCAAAAAAAAAAAGAGAGAGCGAGCTATGGGGCAAAAGGAAGTGGAAACTTTTTTTCTTTTGCCCTGAGCCAAGACAGTAGCCAATAGACACCCCCTGCCTCACTGTGGGTCCCCCACCATCAGCCAACTCCACTCACCAGCTTGGTGGCGTCCATGGCCGTGAGCACTGCACAATTCAGTGACTCCAAGGCAGCCAGCACAGGTTGGTAGACACCCAAGTGTTCTGAGAAGTAGTCTGTGGGCAAAGGAGGTACTCAGGGGTTCCTGGGCTCCCCACCCAACTACTCAACTTGGTATGCAGCAATCAAGCAGGCCTTATATTCCAAGTCCAGTCCACCCTGTCCCATCAGGTAACCACCACAGCCCCCTCACCACACCCACCCATCCAGGGGCCCAGGAGATAAAAGCTCCCATAAGCCTACTCACCACACAGTTTTTCCGTTTCTAAATTGCTGCAGGGAAAAGAAAAGTTGCCCTTCAGAACCTTAGACTTGGGCCTGGTAAAATAGGAAGCCAATGCCCTCCACTAACCAAGTCCCAACTCAGCCTGACAAGGAGGTGAATTCTGCTGCACCCTAAATTAAGCTGTTCCATCGGCTGAGCCCTTGCAGAGGGGAGAAAGGGTACTACTGTCCCTATCAAACACTCTGAGGGCAAAGACTTAGACCCACTCCTGGCTTCCCAGGGGATCTCAGGCCAAGGGAGACAGATGTGGATATAGGCCAGAGAGAAGTGGTCCGCACTGGGAGGGGAAAAGGTTCAAGGACAGCCTGGGGTATTCACTCCATAGGTCAGGGGGGCTTCCCAAAGAAGGGCCTAAACCAGGTCTTGAATGACAAGGAATTTGGGGAGTCTGGTCAGTAGGGGAAGGAGAACACTACAAAAGCTCCAGCCCATGTCTTGGGAGCCTTGAACACTTACCAGCATCTGAGATTTATCCTAAAGAGAAAAGGGAAGTGAGAGGAAGGAACAGCTGTGCATGCGTGCACCCATGTGAGAAAGGAGAGAAAGGAGTGTATACACTCTTGCTAAGATGTGTATATGTGGGAACACAACTCAGGGAGGTATGTGTGTGTTTGTGCACCTGCATTACTGAGTGGAAGCAGGCGGGGCCCAGCTGTCCCCAGGCATCCTCAGGTCCCTTAAGGAAGCAGGAATGAAGAGCTGAGCCATGGGTGGTGACTCAGACTTGGCTATTTTTGGGGTCCCAGCTGGAAGCAGTGTAATGGGCAAAGCTGGAGCTGGGGAGGGGGTGGGTGGGCTGGTTAAGCTGGCATCAAGCCCTAGCACCTTTCTCTCTGCCTCCTCCCTCCCCTACCAAGTCCTCCAAAAAGAACAGGCAACAGAGGACACATTGGGGTGGGAACAACCTCGCTTTGTATCCACCCGTGGCCCAACCATCCCCTCTCTCATACTCACTCAGTGAAATGCCCATCAATGCCGCTGAACAGTTCCCGCAGCTCCCCTGGGCTGAGAACCCCATCAGCAAAGTAATTTTGGAATTCCTCAAATGAGAGTTTACCATCATCTGGGGTGGGGGGGACAGGAAGCAAAGTAGGTATCCCTGACCTCTGACTGCACCCCTGCCACCAGACCCAAAGGCCTCATCCCATCTCACAACCACCCAGCAAGATGGGATGGGAGTCTGAGCTCAGGGGGAGGGGAGGCTGACTTGCAGGGATGAAAGGACTGGGGTCCTCAAAGGTATCCACTGAAGGCAACAGAATCCACTATGCAGGCACTTGGGGGACAGGGCAGTACACACATGGCTTTGGGTGGGGACTCAATTATTTGTATGGCAAGTGAAGAAATAATCAATAGGCTGGGCCTCATCAGAGCATGGCAGGGCCTCAACAATGTCACTTGGGAGGACTTGGGAGCTGAATCTCTGCCCCAGATGCTAACCAGCCTTGCTCCAGGGTGGAGGGAACCTCTGTGCTCTAGACCCAGGACATTCACAGAGAAGCCACAGGGAGGCAGATGAAATCTGCCTAAGAGTTAGAGGCTCTGTAAGAAGCTGCAGGCTAGCTCAGGAGAAAATGAGCTCCTCATCACAGGGGTAATGTGGGCAGAGGCTGAGAGCATTAGAGTGGGATAATCCAAGACATTAGGGATTTGGGGTTTTGGGGGGTTTTTTTTTTGAGACTAAGTCTCATTTTGTTGCCCTCAGTAGAGGGCCATGGCGTCACAGCTCACAGCAACCTCCAACTCTTGGGCTTAGGCAATCCTCTTGCCTCAGTCTCCTGAGTACAGATGCCCACAACAATGCCCGGCTATTTTTTGTTGTTGTTGCAGTTTGGCTGGGGCCACGTTCCAACCCACCACCCTCAGTTTATGGGGCTGGTAACCCTACCCACTGAGCCACAGGCACCACCTGACATTAGAGATTTGGTCTGAATGATGTATAAGGTCTCTGAGTAGATGAGTGGGAGGAGCGGAGTTGGGAGAGTCAGAGCCTTCCCCAACAGAAGGCCCTGATCCAAGTGAGGGCATGTGTCCTGACCAATGGGTTGGGACAAACATCCCTACTAGTTTCAAGAGATTCAAGAAGGGGCAAGGAGTGGGGACATGACCCTGTCTCAAGGAGGGTGAGACACATAGGCTTTGAGGACCCAGATACAAGCAATGAAGGCTGACTGGCTGCCTCAGCAAAGACCCTCCACTGGCCATCAGGGCACAGTGGGCTGCTCCAAGTCACATAGGGGCAACAACCTGTTGCCTGCTGGACCCTCTAGGGCTCTGCTTTAGCTTCCAAGGTTTTCCCAGACCAGGGTCTGAGAATGCCCAGGACCTAGGACAGGATGAGCTGACTCCCTGGACATTGGACCCAGCTTTATCCTTGCCCCTAGGGTAGGTTTATGGTTGGTCATATAGAAAGTTACTAGGCCCTCTGAAAATCTGAGCAAAGTATCCCACAGGGCCTTGTCTCCATTACCTCACCCTTCCAAGTCCCTCACATAGGGAGCCTGGTACCAACTGTCACAAAGACCCATGCTTGAGGCCCACCAGTTAAAGGCTGTATGACCTCAGGCACCTGGCTTCATCTCTCTGGGCCTCTGCTCCTTGTGAAATGGGGTGAAGAATTCCAACCTAGCTGGCAGTTGTGAGGACAGCACAAGGTCATGTATAGAAAATATCCATCACTGGGCCAGGGTACTACATGAAAGGAAGGCCCTCCCTCCAGCCTTTAGCCAAACCACATTGCGTCCGCTTTCCATCCTGCCCAACTTGGCTCAGAACAGAATTTCCTCTGGGAGGGATGCCTTGATTGAGTCTCCTAAAGATTTTTCTCCACTCTAAACAGGTGCCCTCCCCACCCCCCAACTTTTCCCTAGGCCTCCTGGATTCCCCCACCCTACTCCCCACCAGGGGACCCAGGGGAAGCCACACTCACCATTCTTGTCTGCTCTTCGGAAAACCTAGAGGACAAAGTGGGGGAGAGGAAGCTGAGAGTGGGGCCTGGGAGGCAAGAGACCCACCCCTCAACCCAGCAGGACCCCAGCTGGCCTGCCTACCCCCTACCTAGCCTTTCCTCATGCCCAGCTCAGCCCAGAAGGAGGCACAGGATAAGTACACAGCAGGTGCCACCCTGCTGAAGTCTCCGCAGGGCCTGGCCTGCAGGGAGGGGAGTGCTTTCAAGCCAGCTCCCTACATCCCTCCCTCCCACACCCAGAGTCTAGCCCAAGTTCTGTTTGATGCATCAGTCCTTGGCAGAATCCCAGCTTGAGGAAGACCGGGGAGATGGGCCAAGTTGTGGCCCAAGGATCCTGGGCAGCCATTCCAAACCTGAATCTGCAACTGTGCAATGTAGCCATGGTCTACCCCTGACTCTGTTCTCGAGCTATTTCATCCTGTGCTTTTTGGAAACCAACATGACACACACAGGTAGTGGCTATTCCTTTCTTGCAGGTGCCTCAGTTTTCCCACTAGCTCATGGAAGAGGAGCTTGGGCTTAACCCTTTCAGGGCTGGGGCTTCCTACGAGGCTGACTCTGTGAGGGCCTCGAGCAGGCATGTGTATACACGTATGTGTGCAAGGGGAAGCAAGGGTAGCAGAAGGCAGGGTCAGCAGACTTTATTTATGGAGAAACAGAGGTAAAGGGCAACAGAGGCAGAGAGGAGCAGAATCTGATAGACCAGCACTCCTAGATCACCCAAAGCAGCCCAGCAAGTAGAAGACTAGTAAGTAGGCCTGGCAAGGACAGGTAGGCTAAAGCCCTGGACAAAGAACCCCCACAGGCTCCAGGTCCTGAATGCCAATCCCCTCCAGGTGTTTTCTCAGGGTCATCAAGGCTCAGGAATGACTCCACCCCCTAACTTCACCAGAGAAGGTCTGTCAATGGCTTAGGGTCACACAGCAGCTCAGTGCAGCCTGGGTAGGGTAGATGGAGATGGGGGGTGGGGGGAGGCGGGAAGTAAGTGTGCTAAGCCGGGAATAAGGACACCTGGGGCCACACCCTGTCATGTCCCTGCCTCCACCCAGGACATGTCCCCTTAGACCTTGGTTTTCCTAACTGGGAAATGGGAGGGTCAGGTCCCTTCCAGCCAGCGGGCTGTGTTCCAGGTGCTGAGTCACTAGGGTCAGTGGAGAGGGGACAGGAACACAGCCTTTCTCTCTGGTAGGGACCTCCGAAGTAGGGGCATGAGAGGGCCAGGACAGGGTAGAGAAGAGGCTTCAGGGCCTCCGCTGGGAGGTGGGGCCAGACCACAGAGGATGACTGTGAGCAGCGTTTACCAACTGTGGGACTTCACTGCCTTTGGGTTGGGCATGAGGCACTTGGGTCAGGAGGGGCTCCTTGGCTTTCAAGCTCCCCTGCATAGGCAGCCCAGCCACCAGAGTGGGCACGGTGACTGCTGTTGTGATTGTTGACACCACCCACCCTCACCAGAAACATAGATGGGGTGGGTTTGGGGGCAAGGTGCAGCAGGAGTAGTGGGAGCAACGGACAAGGGGAGACTCAGAGAGACAGAACAAGAGACACAAAGGCAGGGAGGGCAAGATAAGGGAGATGAAAACAGAGCCAGTAGTGATAAGTACAGAGACCCGGCACAACGGACCTGGCGGGAGAGACACTGACACAGAGACAGAGAAAAACAGAGAAAGACGCAGAGACAGGGCCAGTGAGACACAGGGAGAGATGAGACCGAGACCAGGGGAGGTCCCGCGAGAGACACTGCCCGCGCCCCACTCACGTCCTGGAAGAGTGCGTGTCCGGCGGGCCCGGCGTCGGGCGTGGGCTCGGGGTGCCGCGGGGGCCGAGGCGCAGGCGTCCCGAGCAGGCACACTGCGAGCAGCCCAGCGCATGCCATGGCGCCACCGGCTCAGCTGGGCTCAGCTACGGCTCCGGCCGCGGACTCGATGGGGCTGGGGGGGCTGGGGGGGCGCCCGCCCATTGGCGCCGCTGCGCGAGCCCCGCCCCCGCGGCCCCACCCCCCACCCGCCGAGACCTTGGCCTCAGTAAACCCCCCTTGGGCCTCGCTTTCCCGGTCTGGAAAATACAGAGTCCAGGATGCACAACGTAAAATTCCAGTACGGCTTAGCTCTACGCTTCCGCCACTGGTGCCTCATGGGTGGGGGCTGGCCACTGCAGAGGGCCACTCAAGGGATCCTTTCCACCTGGGACAGGCTTAGTAATACCAGTTTGCTTAGGAGTACTGCACAGCAAGAAGCAGAACAGCTGCGCATGCCCACCAAGAGGGCAGGCTCCCGACCACTATAAGGTACAACAAGCAAACAGCAGAGGCACTGAGAGTGACACAAGAGACTTTACCTCACTGGGCATCTGTAGCCTCAGTCTGCAAAATTAGAGATTAAAATAGACACCCCATAAGACTGTTGGGGCTCAGTAAATGCAGTGTTTCACCCCTAGTCACCCTTCTCTCCCCCAGGTCTCAGGTTATGCCACATTGGTTTCTCTGTATCCTCTCTGCCCTGTTCCCTCCTGCTCCAGGACCTTTATCCCTATTTTTTTGTTTAGTGTGCTCCCTTCTCCAGGGCTTTTGTCCGTATTGTTTTCTGCTTGGTGTGCTCCTCCTGGTTAACTCCTACTTCCCCCTACAGCTCTCAACTCAAGCACCGCCTCTTCTTGGAAGCCCCTCCAGATTTTTTCATTTGTACAAATCTCCATCAGACTCTGAGAGCCCCTCAATTGGAGGGAACACACGTCCCCAGTACTTGAAAGCACCTGACACAGAACCAGTCCATTGTATCTGCTCCATGTTTACTATTGCCCAGAAACATCTGGAAGAGCACCACAAACTGATCAAGCGGCCTCTGGGGCTGGGGAAAAGTTTACTCATTACTTTGCACTGATATAATATTCCGCATTCCTTTTTTTCTATTTTTTGAGTCTCATTCGGCTGCTCTGGAGTTGAGTGATATGGCGTCCTAGTTCATAGCAACCTCAAGCTCTTAGGATCAAGAGATCCTCTTTCAGCCTCCAGCATATCTGAGACTACAGGTGCCCACCACAATGCCCACTAGTTTTTCTATTTTTTGTAAAGACAGGGTCTCATACTCCTTAACTCAAGCAGTCTACTCAACTCTGCCCTTCCCAGAGTGTTGATTACAGGCATGAGCCACTGCCCCCAGCCTAGTATTTCTGACTTTTTATAAAAATACTTACTGTATCATTTTAAAGTTAAACCCCAAATGGTGCCAGAGCCTACCTTAGGGTTATAGGGTTCAAATCAAAGTACATTAGCACAAACAGGAAAGAAAAGTGGAGAATGGGCATTTTCTCAGAAATCTTGGTCCTTCCCATCCCTAGATTTTCTCCCAATAGAATCCCAGAACCCAGTTCAAACATCATCAAAATATTTATTAAAACCAAAGCAAGAGGGAACAGAGCTGTTAGGAAGCAAATCAAAGTGCAGAATGGAGGGTGAGGCAGAGTAATGAGGGGGGACACTTTAACACCACAAGACCCCCCCCTCACTGCCCACCATGTCAGTGAAGGTCCCCCACTCACCTCTCCCATCCCATATCCATCCTAAGGGGAGCTGAAGTGCCCCCCACCACCATCCACCCACTCATGGCTGTCAAGTCAGTCTGTCTTCCTCCCTCACTTTTCCAATAAATAAATCACTCAGGCCTCAGCTCCTTCAGGGTGGGGCAAAAAAACAGCTCAGGACCCCTGCCCTTGCCCAGGGGAGTAGGGAGTCAGGGTATGAGCCCCACCTTCCTACCCTTTGCTGGTTCCCAGGCTTGCCAAAGAGGCCTCGATAAATAAATAACGCTTCATTAAAGCTTCGATCAAAAAAACCTTTAAGACAGAAGTGCTCTCGCTGTCCTGCAAACCCAGCCAGCCAAGGCCTCCCTGCCTGGCCTGGTCAGTGCACAGGATTCTGGGAGCCAGCGGCCACCCTGGGCCTTATGGGGCCCCCGGAACAAAAAAAAACCCAAAAGTGCAGTTAGAGCCCCTCCATTCACACGCATAAACTCATGCATACATGTGGACACACGGGCGTGTCTGCAGTGCACACACAGATGTGTTCACCTTCATTCCCCGGTACATGCACACACACATGTTATCATACCACACTCAGCCCAGGTACACACATGTAGGGTGTTGAGTGCAAGCACATACACACCATACACAGAATCCTTCCCTTCCAGGCTTGCTCAGCATCCTGGCAGTAGCCACACCCTAGAGCTAGAAGCCACTGGAGATAGGAAAGGGGGGGTATAAATTAAACATTTCCAATGGGGAAGGGGAGGACGGCCAGGGGCAGGGAGGTCCAGGGCTGCAGACACTGGGTGGGCATCTGAGGAAACCCTGGTCCCCCTAAGCCCCATCAGAAATCCAGGGGAGTGAGGTCCCCAAAGTCACAGTCGAAGAGGTCTCTGATGCCCTCACCCTCCTCAAGGCCAAAGTGGTAGTCGAGTGTCTCATGGGGTGGGGAGAGGCTGATGAACTCCTCAGGGAGGATGGTGGAGAAATCCTCCCGAACATGCTCCAGGAGCGAGTCGGCTGCTACCAGTGGGGACAAACGGTCCTCGTCCACAGGGACCCTCAGGCCACCCATCCGGGATAACAGCGGTTCTGGGGAAATGGGGAGCATCACAGGCCTGGGACACCCCAGCAGGGAGAACAGAGGGGGCTGTCATTCCTGCCCACCCACCCTGAAGAGGGGCCCTAGCCTACCCAAACCCCTTCACCCACCTTGCTCTAGACTGAGCAGGGACTGGCCAGGATCCGTGGTGGGGGATGAAGAGGGAGAAGATGGTGGTGGCACTGTGGTGGCAGGGTCAGCTGCCCTGTCTTCTTCCCCAGAAGCTGCTCCCTGGGATGAGGTGTTCTCAGGGCTGATCCCGCCTGTACTCTCCTCGGGGCACAGGAAAACATCAATGGGGCCTTGTTTGCTCTTAAGGGAGATCTGAAAAGTCTGTGTGAAGCATCAGACAAAATAAACTGAGTCTCCAGGAACCACCAGCCCAGCCCAGCCCATTTTGGTCAGGTCTGGAGTCCCAGTTCTCACCTCTGAAGAGTCTATAGCTTGAAGCTGGGTCTCAGGAGGGGCTTTGATCACCATGACCATCTGCTCTGCAGGGTCTGCAATGCTACGAAGGTCCTGGCATGTCACATAGGCCAGGGTTGGTGGAGTCAAGGACTACATGACCTTCGACCTCTAGGGACCACTCACACAGCTTACAAGTTGGGGCCCACATCTACCTAGTCACTCTTATCTCCTCAATCCACCCTCCTGTTCAAAACATACTTCATTCCCTTCAGCTTCAATTTCCACATCTGTACAAGGACATTTTCACTTACTAACCCCAAGGCAATGGTGATGATAGCTGCCTGCAACAATTTCACATAAAATGCTTAACACAGGCCAGGCACAGTAGCTCACACATGTAATATGGGAGGCCATGACAAGAGGGTCACTTGAGGCTAGCCTGGGCAACATAGTGAGATTATGTCTCCACAAAAAACTTAGCTGAGTGTGTTCTGGCTACTCAGGAGGCTGAAGCAGGATAGCTTGAGCCCAGGAATTCAAACATAGAGTCAGCCATGATTGCATCACTACAAGTCTGGGCAACAGGGAGACCCTATCTCTTTAAAAAGAAAAAAAAAAAAAGCCTAACCCAACCTAGGTCTGGTGCTGATAATTTATTTTTCTTTACTTGTTTTTATAGAGATGGGGTCTTTCTATATCGCCCATCCTGGCCTCGAACTCCTAGGCCAGGTGTCCTCAAACTATGGCCCGTGGGCCACACGCAGCCCGCCTAGGACATTTATCCGGCCCGCCGGGTATTTTTGCCGCTGCCACCGCCGCCTGTCCTGCTTAGCAACCAACTCGTCCTAAGGCCTGCAGTCTGGCCCTCCAACGGTCTGAGGGACAGTGAACTGGCCCCCTGTTTAAAATGTTTAAGGACCCCTGCTCATAAGTTTTAAGCTACAATTATCTACTGAATCATTGCACTAAATAAATGTTTATCATTGCTGGTACCAGCTTTTATTAATTTGCAGTTTGAATTTAGTTGTATTTAGTAGATACCCAAATTGTATTTATGAATTTTTGGTACAATCATTATTATCATCCCCCTTTTATAGAGGAAACAAACCCAGAAAGGCTAAGTAACATGTCCAGTGTCACATGCTGACCCAGGACTTTGGTCCAGAGCCAGAGCCCTCTCCTGAACCCAGGGCCTTGGTGGCCTCTCTAGTTCCACTTGGGTTAGGCCCTGCCTGCCAAGCTGCCTTCTGTGCCCTCAGCCAATCCAAGGATATCGTTGGCTGTCAGAATCCTCAGAAAGCAGCCGCAGCTGCGTGGTACAGATGTGCATCAGGTGGTCCAGCTGCTGCTCACTCTCTTGAAGTTGTTGGAGGTCCTGAGTCAGCCCTTCAAGTCGCCCACCGATCCCCACCGTGGCGTGGTTGCCTCTGTGGGTAGGCACCAAAAGGTTAGCAGTTCCTGCCACTTTGCCCAGGAACCCTGGCTCTCAGGACCAACTCTGCTGCCACTCCTGTTCTGTGAGGCCCAGGCATACTCTTGTCCCTTTCTGGGTCTGGTTTCTCAGCTGGGCTCCAAATAAGCCTAAAATGGCTTTAAAGTCTGGCCAGAATATATGCAAACGCCTACATGTCCCTCATGGGGGGCTGGAGAATTAAATGATAGCACAGACACACCACAGAATAGTACAATTGTATAAAAGGATGAGAATGCATCAGAAGTATACATGGAACCATTTCCAAGACATGTCATCAAGTGAAAGACAATGATACAGAAAGGAAAGATCCACCAAAAACTGACAAGTCAGATGTATTAAAGAGAGGACAGCAGGATGACTAGACAGAGGTAAAAAGGCAAAAATAAAAATTTAAAAAAATAAGTCCCAGCTATTCGGGAGGCTGAGGCAAGAGAATCGCTTAAGCCCAAGAAATGGCGCTGCAGCATCACACAATGCTTTCGGCACCAGCCACATAGACTAAACAACAGCTAAACAATGACAACCACAACAAAAAAATAGTTGGGTATTGTGGTGGGCGCCTGTAGTCCCAGCTACTTGGGAGGTTAAGGCAAAAGAATAGCTTAAGCCCAAGAATTTGAGATTGCTGTGAGCTGTGATGCCACAGCACTCTACCAAGAGTGACATAGTGAGTATCGTCCATCCAAAAAAAAAAAAAATATCTGGCTCGGCGCCTGTGGCTCAAGCGGCTAAGGCGCCAGCCACATACACCTAAGGTGGCGGATTCGAATCCCCAGCCCGGGCCCGCCAAACAACAATGATGGCTGCAACCAAAAAATGGCCAGGCCTTGTGGCGGGCACCTGTAGTCCCAGCTACTTGGGAGGCTGAGGCAGGAGACTCGCTTGAGCCCAGGAGTTGGAGGTTGCTGTGAGCGTGATGCCATGGCACTCTACCCAGGGGGATAGCTTGAGGCTCCGTCTAAAAAAAAAAAAAAAAAAAAAAATCATATAACCTAAAAGCAAGCATTTGGCTTCGTGCCCATAGGTGCCAGCCACATACACTGAGGCTGCTGGGTTCAAACTGGGTCCAGGCCAGCTAAACAATGACAACTGCAACAAAAAAATAGCCAGGTGTTGTGGCAGGAACCTGTAGTCCCAGCTACTTGGGAGGCTGTGGCAAGAGAATCGCTTAAGCCCAAGAGTTTGAGGTTACTATGAGCTTTGACACCACAGCACGCCACTGAGGGTGACATGATAAGACTCTGTCTCCAAAAAAATAAAATAAAACAAGGATAAACATCTGTGTTAAACTAATGGCAACGATGGCAACAAAACCATAATACTAGTCATACACTGGTCACTTTGGTGGTATGAGGGGTGGGCAATGATTGGGAAGGGTCATGAGAAACTTTATTTTTTTTTTTTGAGATGGAGCCTCAAGCTGTCTCCCTGGGTAGAGTACTATGGCATCACAGCTCACAGCAACCTCCCAACTCCTGGGCTCAAGTGAGTCTCCTGCCTCCGCCTCCCAAGTAGCTGGGACCACAGGCACCTGCCTCAATGCCCGGCTATTTTTTGGTTGCAGCCATCATCGTTGTTTGGCGGGCCCGGGCTGGATTCGAACCCGCCACCATAGGTGTATGTGGCTGGTGCCTTAGCCACCTGAGCCACAGGCACTGACCTGAAAGAACCTTTTAGTGTTGGAAATATTCCTTATCTTGATCTGAATGGTGACAATAAATATGTAAAACTATATTGAGCTGGCTCAGTGAGAGCTATGTACTTTTCAGCACATGTCAACTCAAGGAAGCCACCTATCCTGAGACTCAGTTTCCCCAGCTACAAGACAGGGATGCAGGCAGCCACAGTATGTATTGTTACTAGTTCCTCCAAGCTGGCATGGGCAGTTGTCTACCCTTTTGGGCTGATACCTACAGCCACTGGATATGGTTCTTGGACTTCTTGGTAATGAGCTGGATACCCTCAAGGACATTCGTGATGTCGTAGATGCGCCGTTTCTGCACCTTTAGCACCTCAGCTGCCCAATTCAGGTCAACAACACCATCAGCTGAGTGGCTCAACAGCTCCAGGAAGCGTTTGGTGGTCAAATTCAGTGAGGTCTCATAACGTGATTTCTCCCCAGGAGATTTCACACCTGGGGGGTACAGTCAGTGAAGGCAAGATCTCTCAGCATCCACCCCACCTCCAGCTAGGCCTGCTTCCCTGGCAATGTGGAGAAACAGGATGATGGAGGGAGAGGGCAGACGGCCCCTTCCCCTTGGCAAGGCCATGCAGGGAGGCTGAGTGGCTGCTGCTTGCCAACCACAGCACTCCTCTTCCAACCAATGAATTCCCCTTCCCCCAGGGTGTGGAGAAACCATGCCGGGAGGCCACTCCAGCTGTCCCTCTGGGCCCCCAGAGGCCTGGCCCAGGTCCAGGCACGATAAGCCAGACTTTAGTCTGCGAGCATGTTTGTCTATCCACACCCCCAACCTGAGGCTGGTCAGAGGTCTGCTCAGCTCCAGCTCCAAGGGTACCTTTGCCTGGGTGGCGGCCTCTGCCCCGGACTGGCCCACTGCTCTCAGCCAGGTACTGATGGTCAGTTTCCAGATCCAGCCTCCGCTTCACCTGTGGCAAAAACAATAGCAGGATGCCCAGTAACCAGGAGTGAGGCAGTAAGAGACCTGGCTGAGGGCTTGATGTCCCTGGGCTGCTCCCTGCCTCAGTTTCTCTATTAGGAAGCCTAAGTGTGTGAGGGTGATCCTAGGAAACACAGCCTAAGGGTCACAATCCTACTACACAGGAAGAGATAATGAACTAGAAGGCAGAAGACCCAAGTTCAAGCCTCAGTTTCACCACCACTTCTCTGGGGTTTATGGTGGCTTTAAAATGCCTGCAAACTTCAGGCAGCGCCTGTGGCTCAAAGGAGTAGGGTACTGGCCCCATATGCTGGAGGTGCTGAGTTCAAACCCAGCCCTGGCCAAAAAGTGCAATAAATAAATAAATAAATAAATAAAAAAAACATCTGCAAATTTCTAAATATTTCTCCTTCGAAAAACAAAGCTCAAAGTGGCTAAGGCACCAGCCACGTATACCTGAGGTGGTGGGTTTGAATCCAGCCTGGGCCCACCAAACAACAACGAATCCAGCCCAGGCCCACCAAACAACAACCAAAAAATAGCTGGGTGTTGTGGCGGGCGCCTGTGGTCCCAGCTACTTAAGAGGCAGAGGCAGGAGACTCGCTTGAGCCCGGAGTTGGAGGTTGCTGTGATGTCACAGCACTCTACCCAGGGGAACAGCTTGAGGCTCTGTCTCAAAAAAATAAATAAATAAAAATAAAATAAAGTCTAATTCTCCTCCCCTTAAATATAGGCCATATCATACAGACACTTAAGAAGTCCTGGCTCGGCGCCTATAGCTCAACCGGC